TTTTTTTTTTTTAAAAAAACGTATCACGTATCGTAATAGAAGAATGTACTCTTATATTCACATAACGGTATGTACTGAAAGTGGAGTGAAATCTTCAGTGCTATGAAGTGAGAGATCATTTTAATTCCTATTTTAAGAATAAATGTATCTTGATTGGTGATGTACAGATTACATGTAGTTTCAATGACATACAATAATCTGTGCAGTTTAAGTTTAACTTATATAACTTAAGTATTGCATAATCATGAATAATTAAATTTTGATTTAGGTGTTGTTTGTAATATTGTATTAAATAAGTATAAATTTCAGTAACTCCACGGCCTACTATTCCCATTCTATTGTCCACTTTAACAATCAGCCTCCACATTTCCAATTTCATGCTTCTCAAATTCCACTCAACACACAATCTAAAATGTCAGCTCCAGCATTTCCAAATTCAGACTGTATTTTTTTTTTGTATCTTTCTATACATTCAATTTCCTCACAAAATCCCTTCAGCTCCATATTCACTTTCATAACCTTAACCCTATTGCACTCAAGTCCCACTATCAGATTCCTACTCCTGTTTCTTGTGGTGGTAGCCTTATTTTCACACAGCTTTCTCCAATGTTCAACACTCATCCTCTTGCCTTTACTCATTCCACATTCTCAATGTTCCACTCTTAATCAATCTTCAATTTCCACTGTTCCTCCTATAAATTCAGTTCCATTCCCCAGTCTCCTACCTCCACAATCCTTACTCAGCCTCCACATCAATTCATGTATTTTTTCATTACTCATATCAATTTTAAAATATTGGAATTGTGATTTACTTCATCTAAAGTGGCTCTGTTAACTCACAAGTTAGGTGTTATTCCAACCACCGTCTAGTTTACTATTTTTGCCCTCATTGTACACTTTTCCTAGTTATGTTCTTTTTTTTTGATAGTATACAGTTTCCCTAGTGTTGAATACAAGCCTTCGCTCGCACGCACTCTAAGACATACACACACACACACACAATTCCACACACATACACACTCACAACACACACACATCAACACATTCAACACAATCATTGACATCACATTACTCACACACACAGCGTCACACACACGTAGTGTTAGTGGGTCACAAGCGCCAGGCTCGAAATTCTTCAGTTGCTTTTTAGGGCTTTTTTAAGCAGCTAGAAGCAACCAGTGTTAGTGACAACTCAGTGAACAACCCTACAAGTGAATAATCAAAGCTATTAGCAAAAATAAATAAAGTAAGGCGAGAGAAAGCCTGAAATTAACAACAAAATTTCAAAGTGCCAGTTCTAAGAGGCCTAGTTGCAACACCTGTTGCCACATTGTACACATATGCAAGTACAAGCGAGTGACTAAAGAGAAGATCAAATAGAATTTAGAAGGGTGGCTAGCGACAAACAGTGTATGTACACACAGTAGTGAACAAGCTAGCCGAAAGGTGATATAATATATGCTAAATATAGCATACATTATACAACAAATATATATAAGCAGTAGTTGTGGGCGCAGTAGGCC